GAGAAACTTGTAAAACAATTTGCATACCAAAAAGTTTTTCAGATTTAAAGCCAATTTTATATGACATTTTATATACCATCTGACAACTCTCAAGCGGTTTAAACCTTACTTTTCCCAATCTGACACCTGTCAAAAGGTTTTGAACTCCAGCCCGTGCATTAAGTTACAATGTACTGTTGCCAACTTCAGTCAGTGCATTAAGTTACTTAATACACGCCTTGTCAATGTAGGAGTAGATAAGGGGCCGTTCATTAATTACGTAAGACAATTTTGGCGATTTTTCGACCCCCCCTCCCCTTGGTGAGATGTCGTGAGATTTTGCACGACCCCCTCCCCCCCTTAATCTCACGTGATTTTTTTTTAAATGCGTGGTTTTAATGTAAATAAGTTAATCTGTGCTTGATTCCATTAGATTTATTAAAAAAAAACAATTTGCTTATAATTGTTTACTTAATTTAACCCAGTTTTCTCGCAATTTTACACTCTTTCTTTCGAAAAAAAAAATTACGTGATATTTGCCGAGAAAAATCTTGTCAAGTCAAGTCAGCGGCGTAACTAGAAAAAGTGCCGCCCGGGGCAGCAGTGGCTGTCGCCCTCATATTTTTTTTTTTGGGGGGGGAAGAGAGGTTAGGTTAGGAGTCAGTATTGAGGACCGTACGCAAAATTAAAAATATATAATTATATATATAACATATATATATATATATATATATATATATATATATATGTTATATATATAATTATATATTTTTAATTATATATATATATATATATTGGTAATTTATGTCGGCGTTAGACTGATTACTCATCAAAGGTACAATACCGGTCTTGTTTCTATTTTTTGCTAGCTTTATTTGATTTGGAATATTTTGGGAGTAATTGTATAAATCTCAAATCTATTGGAATTTGAATTATATTATTTCGAAAGAGAATATTTAATTATCAAATATTTTTTTTATTTTTATATTCTGTCTTCCAGTTTTTTCGCATTTTCTCTCACGATTTTTGCCGCCCGGGGATATGAAAATATTTTTTTCTACGAACACTATGTAAAAGTCACATTTCGTATGGGCATCGTTGCTTAGAAAATGAATCTTTTCATTGACAAGGCAAAACACCGTGTTTTAAACACGAATGTAAAGTGACATTTCTGTGTGAAAAGTGACAGGTCTGTGTGAAAAGAAATTGATAGCATCGTTTGACATTCATTTCAAAATTTGTATTGTATTTGTATATATATGTCTAAATAACATTTAGAACACAATTAATTGTGTTTGTATAATAAATTCTAGTTTTTAGTGCCTTTATTGAGAAGGTAAGTTTATTGATTTTAAGTAACTTGTACCTTAAAAATTAAAAGAATAAGATGAAAGAATTTTAACAGCTGTCATACACGTTTTTAGGTTATTTTGTTTTGTATTTGAATATAATAAAAAATAAAAGGGTCGTATAAAAACATTGTGTTTCACTTGTGAGAAAAGCTTTCTTTAACCTCGTGTTAATGCACACTCGGCCTGACGGCCTCGTGAGCAACTTGAACACTCGCATGAAAAAGTCGCTTTTCAACACTTGTGAAACAAATAACTATAACATTTTATTTTACGTAAAAATGTGGTATTTAATTTGTTTTATTACGTTATTCTTTTGGTCGCTTGGATAGTTATTATGTAGTAAAAATAACATATTAAATCATTCCCTACATTTAGTAATTGTTCGTGTTTGTATTGTTATTTAGTGATTTGCCAAGCAAACGTTCCTTCATAAAAAAAATGCGTAAGATGCCGATTGTACAAAATTTGGCGTAGAAAAAAATAATTACACACTGAAAAAAATAAGCTGTTGAAACAACAAAAAAAATATTAATTCAACTCTTTATGCACTTTAAATACAAGCAATGGTTTTTGCACGTTTACTTAACCATCTAAAAATGTCAAATTGTATTGTTTAATTGAACAACAAATAACAGTCAAATGAACAAAATAAGAATATTTGTTCTAATCTGCTAATTTGGTTAATTTAACATTCTTAGGGTGTTAAGGTAAATTTCTTGAAATGTCCAGGTAACCTTTTTAGCATATTCACTTAACACCAATAAAATGTTAAATTAACATTCTGAAAATGTAAAATTCTTTAAAGGTTGGTATCCAAAACAAAATTATGGAAATAATATATTAGTATATATAAATAGAAATAATTGAACCTTCACCTCGCCCAGAGTTTTTGTTTTGAGCGTGTTCCACCCATGATACATCTTTGTATCATGTGTTCCACCTACTTCAAATACCGACAGACTGTTTCGCCCTGTATTGAGGGTCTTAACAGTGTCGGGCAATATGGTGTAGTGAAAGTTCTACTGTGGAACACACCTTAAACAAACAGATATCTCATCTTATATACACCTAATCGTAAGCTAACTAAGGCGAGATGTAAGAAAACGTCATTGTCTATTGACGTGGCGTGAGTGTTCGAAGCGCCATTCTCGGCAATTTTATGAATGCAAATTTTACATTTTAAATTTTAAAGTAACATTTTAAATTTGTTAAATGAACAAATTTAAAGTTTTGGATTAAAGAGCAACTAAACGTTAATTTAATAGTTTTTTTAGGTAATCCTAAAAATTTCAGTAGTTGATTCAACAAATTCCAGCTATTAAATCAAAGTACGATAAACATTTTAATTCAAAATATTAGTTTATGTTAAATTAATATTTAAACTGTCAAATGAACAAATAAACTTTGACAAACTCTGACTTTTGCTTTAACACCAAAATATAGATTAATCCAATAGGTTTTTTGTTGAAACAACATTTTTAAAAATGACATTTAGGCAAATGTTAACTCAACTACATTATTTTTTTCGGTGCAGTTGCATCAAAAAAGGTTTTTTGGGAAATACCAATATTAAATTATTTTGAAAATCTTCTTTATAATATTTATATTATACAGGTAAACATTTTTTTTGTATTTTAAGGGATTAATTTAATTTTCAATAATAGGGTGTCACTTGGAGGAAGTACCATATAAATAACATCTCACAGTATATTCTACATTTAAGGTAAAATGTATTGTGTAGTTTGATATGTTTGAGAGGAAATTCATGTCCCAGGTATACGTATGTTTAGAACATGGATTCCTCTGGCATTTTTAAAGAAAACACTTGTGCAAAGCAGGTAGAAATATAAATAGCCGCCCATCACAAATTCCCAGGTAGAGAAAACGCTGCTGCAGCGTCGCTGCCCGTTCCGCCGAGATTAAACTCACATCTATACGGAATTTCAGAAATATCCTACCTGAACTGTGAAATTTATTTCGGTGAAATAAAAAACGCATCTTTCGACACGTAGTCGAAAAATTTTGGGTTTAATTTCAATAAATGCCACTTAATAAGCATATTTATTTATTTAATTACTGTTTTACTTTAATTATACCATTTTAAGCGTAATTCTATACAATCATACATAAAAGCAATATTGTTGTGTATCACTATCACTATATTGTATTTAAAACATAATTACTGTAATTAAATTACTATACTCTGCATATTGTAAATTTTAAGTTTTCTTCTTTGCATTGCGGTCTGGCGAATTACACCATGGCGGATTAAAAAATACGACCTCGACACGTTTTTCATGAAATTGGCTTTGTTTAGCAAAGTTTGTTACTAACCCGTTTTCTTAATTTGTAATTGTTTACTCTTGCAAATGATTTTCTTAAATTTCATATGAAGCCTTTCATACTCTGTCGTCTTGGTTTACCTTCTATATACCTACATGAAATAAAACAATAAATTGATTGACATTTTTTATTAGGTTTAAATTTGTTCAATTTATAAAAAACATAACGTAATAGTAACAAATATTGATAACTTTTACGTTTAAATATACATCATATCACTGTACAATTTTTACAAGAAGGTATTAAACTTATAAGTTTTGCACCCTTTTTAGGCTTTCATAACAAATATGGCCGACAAACTTATACAAAAATACTTAAAAATAAGTCAAAAACGAATTGCATCATTGAAGTGGTTAAACTTAAATCAAACAGTTAATGACAAAAAATAACTACATAAAGCGTAATTTGTTGGAATAACATCATAAACAACATTAAAAAACAATATTAACGAATGCTAAGAACGTTTTGGCAAAATGGTTGAAATTTGCAAACTAGGGTTTGCAATATCGATTGTTATTCGCTATCACATTATAAAAATGTTTATTTTGTTTCACCCTGTATGCTCAATTATTTCGTTATTACTAAATTTTAAAATTTAGAAAATTGAATAAAAACTATTGAACATACGTTTAATAAAAAATGATAAGTGAAATAAAGTCTTTAATTATTTGTTTCATACGGCCATAAATAATGACATAATTGGTTCTAATTTAGAACAGTTTGCTTATACCATTTATTTTTATAAATAATATGCTTTGGTCGCCACGTATAGGCCTATTTAGTATTTTTTAAATAAATTATCCGGCAATGTAAAACATTTTTCAATACATTTGACGTTTAAAATATGATACCTGTTGATCGTTTTTAATTTTTAATATGAAGCTGTTATTTTTTAATTCATTTAACTCGAGCCGCATAATTGCGATTTCGATAGTTTATTTTAAAATGAATTGACAAAGGTTGAATCATTATAATATAAATTATCATTTCAACGCAACACCGCGTTGCTGAAACTACGGTGAATTGTGAAAAAATAATTTTACATGTGAAATACTTTCGTAACGGAGTAAAAAATATTTTGCATTGCCGATAAAATCTATTCTCATTGGTTAAATTGAATAATATATAATAATATAATAGGTTAGCCTATCGGTAATTTCACTTAGTCGCACTTACGTCATTCGTTTAAGTCTATCACAGCTCATTGCACATTTAGAAAAAATTGTGTTTACAAATATTCCATAAAAGTATGAAAAAGTCCACAATTTAAACCCTTTCTATTATAACAGATTAATAAGAAAATAACAATTTTTTAATCAAAACAAATGTGATGATGTAAAAATATTATTGGAATACAAGGCCTGTGGCTTTGTCCCAGAAACTGTTATGATCACTATTTTGATTACATTTGAATATATTTCTAACAATAAATCGGTTTAGTAAGTTGATATCTAAGGAAATTGTGGCCAATAAAGAATGGTCTTATGGGGAATTTGAATGCAGGCGTGCCAAATCGCCTGTTTTCTCTATTATCATAGATGGAAACCCCAGCAAGAAAGCTTATAACCACAAAATTCTAAACGTGCATACAATATAAAATTCCTACTTATTTAACACGTTTCACCTAACCCAGAGTCCCAGATTCAGGAGACTTAGTTGCGGTAATTTCATAATTCTTTCAAGTCCTACGGTCGTTATCCTAGTGCATCCGTACAAGTCTATACACTTTAGCCGCTGCAAGGCCTCCGCCACTGTCGTTAAACCCTTGTCAGTCACTCTACTACACTGTCCAATGTTTAAAGTTTCTAAATCCAGAAGCGTACTGGCAATTTTCGAGAGTCCCTCGTCCGAAATCTGACAGGCGTTCAGAGATAAACTTTTTAAATTAAATAGTCCTTGAGAAATGTGCACTAGAGCTTGGTCACCGATTTTGTCACAGAAAGACACATCCAACGAGGATATCCTGGACCCACCTTCGGCCAAATACGCCATACCAATATCGGAAATATTATCACATGATCGTAAATTCAGTTCTCTAAGACTCGTCATTTTCGCCAAGTGCTTCAGTCCGCTGTCTGTGATGCTTATGCAAAAACTTAGGTTGATGGATTTGAGTAAGGGTAAGCAGGTGGCATGCTTCAGTGCTTCGTCTGAAAGCCTTTGACAATCTTGAAGGCCCAAGTATTCTAGATTCACGTTGCCCCCGGCTAAATGTTCGATTCCCTGGTCGCTTATATGCCAACAAGATCTAAGATTCAGTCTTTTCAATTTTTTCAACCCCCAAGCTATCAGAACCAGTCCAGTGTTGGTGACGTTGCAGCAACCTTCCAGCTCCAATACTTCTAAATTCTTTAGGTATTGCGCTATCCGACTCAAGGAATTGTCGGTGACTTGTTTGCATAGCGATAGGTTGAGCTGTGTGAGCGACGGCACCTCCGTAATGAAGGCATGAGTAATTCCCACATCTGCAACGCTATAACATCCGCTCAGGTTTAGTGACTCCAAGTTTGGTATGCCCTGTATGACTTCTCGGAGGGAGCGCCTCAGGGACAGAACTTGTACCCTTTTGATGCCCCGTTTGACAAGCGAAGCGAAGACCGATGCATTCGTCCGTCTTAGGTGCAACTTGGCCTCGACTCCTCGCCACACAGACTTAAGGTAAGCGGCTTCTCTCCATGTGGTGCACACCTGTGCCACCCGGCCCTTGTCTCTCACCTCCAGGTAACTGAAAATGATGGCCAGAATTTCGGGATAGAGACAGGAAATGTGAGTCTTGCCCAAGTCGTAGTCGTCCACCTGCTCCTCCTCCTCAATTGTTCTTGTGAGCGCATGCAACTCATGGACGGCTGAATGAGAAAGAAAATGTTGAGGTTGGTGTAACCGGTTATACGGCTGGTACCGTGTCGTGTGGTAGTGATGCCTTAGCAAGGCCTGCGTTGATAGCAAAGGAACTGGCAGTTCTGTGTACGACACTTGCGTCGGATCCTCCATCATATTGTTGCTTGCTGTTGGCTGGCTTTAAAAACTGTACACATACATCAACACATTACGTCGTATCTACGTAAATTCACTGGCACTAACTGACGCGCTCTCACCTCCACGACATCTCATTTCAAACTGATCGTACAGCGCTACACCACACTAGAGTTGACTGCCTTCTGCCCCCATTGGCCAACGTGCGCACCACGTGACGCGCTAGCCTCGTATCGATTCGGTTGCTCACGGCGGCATTTTTAAGTTTCACGAGGATACTTGCCCCCTCTCTTCGAGGGCGGTTTTCAACTAGTGGAGCTATTCGAATAGCTGTATATTTTTTTAAATAAACAAAACTTCTTCTGCTTCTACCTACTTTTTCCATCTATTTTTTAGTCATCAAATTACATACGTACGTTCATCAATACTCTATTTGTTTATCCATGTGCATATTCATAATTTTGTCGAAGCAAGAAATGTCAAGTTGCATTTTTTGCACTTGTTACAGTTTCTCTTTGATTAATGGCGACAGCATTTCAATAGTAAAAGTTGCAATAAACGCTCGTTCCTTACGTTGTAAATCTTATTTCAGTTCTACTAGTTTTTGTTCGGTTTATTTTTCGTAAAATTGCTTCGTAAAATATTTAGAAAATAATTTTTGCTTTGCAAATAATGGACATTTTTCTTATTTACCAATGCCTTTTTACTTGTAGAAACTGCCTTTTGTAAACATTGCTACGACGGTATTGTTTTTAGTTTGTTTTTCAAATACAAACTTTTTACAGAACAAATAAAAAGAGTAACGCCGGAATGTAAAACGCAGCAGGCTATGGGCTAGAGAGAGACAGACGGATCCCGGTTCGGAACGAGACATTCCCTTGAAACTTCAAGCGGATAGAACGAAATGAAATGTTGCCGCTGCCTCTGCCGCTCTGCTCCTCGCATACGCATGGGATATAATATATTTTTGAATTTTCCTATTTTTGTTTAATTACAACGGCAAAATTCATTGGTTTATTATCGAGTCAGATTTAAATATTAAAAAATGAAAATGCGTGTGTATTTCATAATTTGCCCAAACCCAAATGCAATACCTATGTATCTAATTTTTTGCAAAAATATAGGTATTAAAAAAAGCTGGTTTCAATATTTGTGGTAAAATTAATAGTCTCAAGCCACTGGGGTGGCTCAGTGGGTAAATGTTTAATTATTATGTTTCGGGTTCAGACCTTGGGCCTGGATCAAAAACAAATTATGAGTATAGTGTCGAAGAAGCACTAAAAAAAAATATAATAATAAAAATTCCATTTTATAAACCTTGAGTATGTTTAACTCAAAAACTACTTAAGTAAAAAAATCTACTTAAAAATTCTCAAAAATCTATCGCGTATGGCGTTAGTCAAGGGCGTAGGCAGGAGGAGGTTTTAGGGGTTTAACCCCCGAAATGTGAGAAACAGTCCTGTTTTAAGATTTTTTAAGAAATCCTAACAAGATTATGATATTTATAGTCTTGGTACTGATTTTTTTTCCAAAGGTGGTATTTACTATTATTATTTAATTTTTATATTTCCCATAGATTCCTGATTTCTAACAAACTTTTTGAACATATTATGTAGTAAGTACTAACTGTACGAACACATTAAATACTTTTGTTATATTTTGTTCAGTTTAAAAAGATTTAATATATTATATGTACTATGCTTCACACCTCAAAGTCCCACCACGAGACCACGTACGGAACGCAGTGTTTTGAAAATTTGGCATTTAAGGCTTTTCAGGTTACGTATCTGTCAAAGTATAGTCAATGAAAGAAATAATATTTATAGTGTTACCGCTTATGTTTTTAAAAGCGTTAAAAATTAATAAATCTTTATAGTATCACAATAACAATGGTTGGTTTAAGAATTTAGGAATATAAATACTGCATTTAATGAAATTCCAAAGTGTAAGGTGCAATATAAGTGATATTTTTGTGCATTGGGTCTGCATTTCTCCATAAAATAGTTTTAACTAAACAGCATTTATTTTAAAAAATCTAACTTCTCTATTTTGAAATAAGAATGTCTGTATCAAAGATAGCTTAATGTATTAGAACAAAAAATATCATCTAATTTTGTATTTTAAGGTTAAAAAAATCTATTTTGACCAAAATAAATAAGTGGATTATTTGGAAGAGTGTGTTAATATGGTCATAAATAAATATAGGTATACTAAATAATTGTTGAATATGGTTTAAATTAAATTGAAGCTTTTATACTTCTAATGACAAAACTTGTGCATACCTCTCGGCATAACTACTTTAAGTTAGATTATAAGAAAACAAACAATTTTTAGAGAAACTTGCAATGTGAAAATATTTAATACTCCCATGACATGTGATTTATTAAAATTTTTAAAGTTATAATGATTTTTCGATGTAGATCAAGTTCAGTCGAAGCTCTTTAACTATTTGTATTGACAAAACTTTATGTAGGTACACTTTAAGCTGGATAAGAAAAACTACCACATTTTTAAATACCATATTATACAGTATTTTAAATAATCCAAAATACTTATTTATTTTGGTCAAAATAAATTTTTCTAACCTTAAAATTACAAATTTTTTTTATAATATATTAACCTACCTTTAAAACAGATACTCTTATTCCATAATAGAGAAGCTAGATTTTTTTTAATAAATGCTGTTTAGTTAAAATTATTGTATGGAGAAAACCAGATATTTGCACCAAATGCACAAAAATATTACTTATTTGGCACCATACACTTTAGAATTTCATTAAATGCAGTATTTATATTTTTAAATTCTTAAACCATCCATTGTTATTGTAATGTTATAAAGATTTATACATTTTAACGCCTAAACATAATATTATTTCTTTCGTTGACTATACTTTGACAGATACATAACCTGAAAAGCCTTAAATGCCAAATTTTCAAAAGACTGCGTTCCGTACGTGGTTACGTGGTGGGACTTTGAGGTGTGGAGCATAGTATATATTTGTAGAGTCTCAGGTCTATGCAAAAAATTCCAAAAATAATAAAAAAAGTTTATATAAACTTCCATGTTTTAAAGCTTCGTTTACGAGATACAGGGTTGTTAATTAAAATAAACAATTTTTATAAGATTTAATATCAAAAACTATTGTTTATATTCTTTAGTTTTTGTCTGTATAATACAGGGTAAATTCTTTGTCAATAGAGGATAAGTATCCTGTATTAACATCTTGTATGGGTATCTTTTTTGTTTTAGGAGCTGCAAGGTCTTTTAAAAGAGAGAGAGTAAAGTTGCCTTATTACAAGTCTTTTAAAATGGCATTTAAAAATTGGAGAACAGTCTCGGTTCTTATAACTTATAACTTACATACACAAAATACACCTTCTACTTTTTCATTCAATTTGTGATTTTTTCGCCTACTAAATTTGGAGTTACCACCACCAGCTTTTGTTTTGCTTATGGCTGCCATATTAGAATTTTACTTGGTGGGATAGAAAAAAAAGATATATCAAACTTACTACACAAGCCATTTTAAAAACAAAAGATGGGATGGTAACTAAATATACAGAGTGATTAAAAATCCTTGTAAAAAAACATAGAAAGTAGAATCAAAGCACAACTTTTGTAATATATGCAAGTTTTGAACTGTATACATTTCAAAACTTGATTATATATGCTCACTAGTGTTTAATAATATATACTCGAACGCTTTCCATATGAACCGAAAGGTTTTATCGTTAATTTCATCAACGGCAGTTCCAATTCTTGACTTTAGTTCTTCCAAATCTTGGGGCATGGGTGGCACATAAGCTTTAACTTTTATGAAGCCCTAGAAATAAAGTCGCATACTGTGAGATCGGGTAAACGTGGTGGCCATAAAGGTAGTGCCAAATCGTTGGCCTCTTAACGTCCGATCCACCGCCCGCTGAATATTGGAAATAAAAATTGTGATTTTCTTGAAAGTATTTTGAAATCGGGGAAGGACTTTTGAATCGCCCTTTATAGTAGCAAAGAAATTGGATGAAATGTAGATAATTGTGTACTTTCTTAAAATGAATTATTCAAAAATGATTAGTTGACAACTTGTCATAGGAAAAAAGTAGCCACTAGTAAATAACTGTATCCCGGAAATTTAACAGTCAATTCCTAGGTAAAATTGTCCGCTGAATCTGAAAATACCGTCAAAAGTTATAAAAGTAAAGCAGTTTTTGAGATATAGTCAATTCCATATTATTTGAAAAATTGACTACCTATAGAGATATATATATATCTTAAAAAGTGTTTTTAAATTTCATTTCAATAGTATAGTAGGTATGTAATGCAGAAAAATTGCTCTTCTCTTATTTGGGACTTTTATCGTTAAGATTTTTTCCAACAAACTTTAATTTTATCGTTTGAAACACATAATTAATTATAATTATTTATAAACAAAAAATTCAATTATTATTTACTTCGTAATTATTAAGCCCTTTAATAATAATGGTCACTTGCAGAAGTATTATGTAATTACGTGCGTAAGCCCATAATTTTTAAAAATAATTTGTGTTTACGGTGTTTTTGACAGAAAAATCAATGAAATAAGCGTAGAAATTACGTACACCGATGTTGTGACATTGTTCCCACACAAAATACTGTAAGCATTACATAAATTTCAAGCAGAATTGTGCATTTGTATATTTCCCAACTTAATATGAATGATATGCTAAATAACTGAATAAATTAATGTAATTAAAAGAAAGTAAGTACCTATATCGCAGCTTTAACCGTATTAACCTTAATGTAACTGTAAAAAACTAAATAGGAAAAATACGAAAAATAAAAAAGAAGTGGCATACGTTTTTGTACGAATTTTTTGGTCGGGTTACAGCCCTTAGGTCAATTAAATTGTTATTTTTTTAATATCCCAAGTATAATAAAAAAAATTAAATTCAAATTTAATTTTATTTAGGTATTTGTGTTCCGAATAATTTTCAGTACGTTGTTATTGTTTAACACTGTACAAATTTATTTGGGCTTTATTATTATTATATAGAACTTAATGGACATCGGACATAAATTTATACACAGTTTAACCAAGCAGCATTTAAACTCAAAATGTTACTTATATTGACTAAACTAATATATTTAGTAATGCCAATCTCAAATGC